ATGCATTAGTCTGGGTGCCGCAGAAAACGCGGACATTTATCACGTCTTATGCATATTGCACCGTGGTGCACGTGTACGTATGTGGCTCGTCAACGTGGGCCAAGCCTGGAACGTCTGACTGTCCGGAGCTAAACACACTTCTACACGCCCGGGTGTAAAATTGGAGACTTGGTATCTTCATGCTAAATGAAAAGAAGCCATTATATGGACTGTTAAATTAATTGAAAATTTTGGAATCTTTTAGGGACCAACTGATTACGCAAGATGGTTCAACCTCCCACCCAGTAAGGAAATGAGGCCTGCTTATGAGGTAGAATGGAGTTTCTTCTATGAGCCTTTCTTCATTCTCTCCTCCTCCGCTCCCTATTACTATGAAGGATTCAAGGAGTACTCCTACGAACGAGGAAGCTTCGTGAGTTTCCTACCACATCCTCCTCAAGAGAGCCAGAACGTCTTCTTTGCTGCAGAAAACAGTAAAAAAATATAGGATGGAAGCTCCAAAGAAAGAAAAAAAAAGCGCGAAATACCTGTTGACACCTGTCCTAGTGGACATGCTGTATAATTTTCAGCAGGAAGTGTCAGTTACTTTTGTGATCTTGAAATCGAATCCCAGCAGAAATCAAGATGCATGGTAACATATATCATATTTTGTGTTGAAATGCTGGAACACAAGGTACCAGTAAAACAAAGTTCAATATACCCTATCTTCATATGTAGAGATATAACCTTTTCTTTGGAGATTGCTGGCAGGATTGAAAATCCAAAGGAATGATGTACTAAGTTATTCACTGAAAGTAACCCTACTTCCTAACCTTTCGGAAATTATAATTTTCAACTCAGGAATTTGGACCCAGGAACATGAAGGTAATATTTCAAGCTTTTATTGGACATTTATTGATTTATACATTTGCTTGATTTATTGCATATCAGCGGGGATTTTCTTTTCACATCATTCGTGATTTTTTGACCGAGTACTCATATCCACCCCTTCGAAACGAAATTTGAACAAATTTTTTAAGAAGGGTGAGGAATCTAGCAGTGTTCTATGCTCCCAAAATTCATATTTAGATCTTGTCTTGGGCTTCCACTAAATCAGAAATCGAACTTTTGTTAAGTTAAAAACTAAAGGCAAGGTACTCATCGAGAGTCATTCTTGGTACATCATGCATGTCCCAAGTACGCTCACTTGGAAGATCCGTGATTTCGCATTATTTTCATGTTTACGTTAACAGATGTATAGTCGAACATTTACATGCATTTGCATCTGACCATTCTTCAGGCGTGCGAGTTGAAAGCCCGTGGCTGGAAATTCTTCGTCCTGAACAACGCATTTGTGCTCCACGACGGATTCAAATTAACCAACATGTTCGAATTCTTCTTGAACAAGAAAGTCAGGAAGGAACTGGCGAAGACGGCAATCAACCACCGCCTCTACCGAGCGGAGCTCATCGCAAAGATCGGGAGCCAAGCCAAGAAATGCTCCTCCCTCTCTTACCGAACCCTGGAAGTTCTGCTTGTGCTCGCCGGACATTTATAAGGAATACACGTCCAGCAAAATGAGGAAGCAAGAAAACATCTAGCATATTTTCACTGGTGATTTTCACGCTATTCTTCAATTCTCAGTCAGCAACGAACAAACCCTATTTAGGAGTGAAACCAGGGTTTGAACCTTCTTATTTAGAAGGGAATTCCATGCTATTTAAATAGGTGCTAAATGTCGTGGATACATGAAGAGAAACAATGAAGAAACTATGAATAAAATTGATTTAAAAAAAAAGAGCACATCATGGTTTGACCTACTTCAAATAAATAGCAACCTTCCAAGCATTATTTTCTTGGAATTACGCAATGTGGATGAAGAACATGGATTAGAGCATGCGATCTTGTTGAAGGCATGCGATTGTGCTCAGGGCAAGCGGTGCAACTCCGCAGCTCCTTCGTCACTTACAATAAGTCAGCATTTCACGGCAAATTTTCCCCCTTGCCGGCCTGAGGTGATTATGGTATTTTATAATGAATTACTCATAGCCTCTTCAATTACATCATTGAATTTGCAAATTGAGATGAAAATTAGTATACGAACGATATTAATGACGCTTGGCCGAGTTCTCAAGGGCAAAAGTGTGAGCAATAATAGAGATGGTATCACATCTGAACACCGTGGACTCGGCGCCAAGCCTCACGTGAACAAGGTCTTGCATATTTGGAAATGGAAGACAAGGTTTCTAACTGAGCCTCGTTTAATCATATCATCCTCCGAGTGGAGGTCACTAGGATTTGGGGAAATGATTGGAGAGCTGTTGTTTGGAAGTGAGGTGGAAGTGAGGGGAGACTCGAGCCGCTCTGCCGAGAAGTGGAGGGTCGGCAGGCGTGAATGGCTCCGTTGCGAAATGTTCAATCCGCGGGCGTGGACGGCACCGTCAAGAGGTACTGAGCGAATGCTTCACGAATGCCCCGAATTTCCGGAGACCTCCACCTTTTAAGGGCAAGTCTGGGCGGAGAAAGTATAGTTCTCCAAGCCAAGGTGAAGGGGCTGGTACATGCCCCATGGCGAGGGGGAAAAGGGGTGAAAGGAAGAGCATCAGGGGGCAACACGAACATGACACATGCGACGAAACATTGAAGTGAAAATCCATCTATGCGACAAAGGAGCAACATGATGAAACAGCCATACGATATTACATCGACACGACACAACTTTGAAAGGAAAAAAAAATTGAAATATGTTTGAGTTAAATGACTGTCATATTATCATACTTCTACATATTGCTACTTCTACATATGAACGGAATGCTACCTTCAGAGAAGGGAATTTCCATTCTCTTGAAATTAGGTAAAATGTCACATTAGGGTGAACGGGAAGAACTTAACAAGGTGGAAAAAAATCTATTCCTTCCCATGAAGGCCTAGACGCATTCGTCCTATTGAAGCCAATTTCCATTTACTGATATAGCGATAATCGACAGGATGAAACCTTGAGGTGCTCGACAAACCTCCACTAGGGCAACTAAGCATATTCGAGTAAGGAGAACCGATCTGAAAGTGATTATAAAAGACCAGAAGCCATGAAACGAAGAGAGGAATGCATCTTTGTGGGAAATTTTCAAGATTATAGAAATTCATATTAAAATTAATTCCCTCGATGATTGACCAACTGCTATGCAGGCCGTGGAGAATGCCATCGCATTTTGGTGAGCACCCCCTAAGTTATAAGTTCAGATGGTGATAACACAGCAGGCAGACGCAATGGCCCGGGCCAAGTGCTAGACATCCCGGCGTTTGAATGCTCTCGTGAAACGTAACCATTACATCAACACATCAATATGACACTCTTAATTCAACTCCATCAGCTGAAACATATATCACTGTAACATATTCATACAGTATTTTCGTGCAATATATCCCTTGTAACATCCTGCGGATAGTCCATTTCGGAAGTCATTTCAGCCTGGAATTCTGTCTGTTAAAATTTTGCTACACCCAAAGTGGATCCAGTGCACGCGAGTGCGACCTACCTATATAACAATAGCCAACGTCCTTCATAAGTCTGTCTGTCCGCCGTAGGCCTGCTGGGGTCCACTTTTTCGAATTCGACTGGGTTAGCCCGATTTGAATCGTGATCCTACGAGTACCCGACCTCACACATGAGTCGTGTCGGGCAGATCGGTCCAACCAGGTGTTTGCTTAGGCGTAAGCTTAAAAAATCGGTGTCTCTTGGAATTTACTCTTTCTAGGTGGCCATAACCCCTTATCCAATGTCCGGGTCTTCCAAATTTCAACTGTGTCTTACTTGAATGCTACGGGGCGAAACTCGCATCGAGAAATTAAATTAATACAGTTTAGGGTTCCCTGAAGACGTAAGGCATCTTCTATTATTGATCCAAAGCGTGGCACTTTGAAATTCGAAATTTATCTGTTCACTAATAGTATTTTCTCTAACTCCAA